GGAAACTACTCAAGCATAAGGTAAATAAATCCACCTAAGTTAAGATTTAAGTGATTGAATGATGTGTAGAGATCGTTTATATGCATCTTGCATGAGTTCTTTATGCTTGAGATGAGTAGATGGAATTGTTATTGAGTTTGATGACAATTCATGGTTGGTTTTCCACCATGAGAAGGGTTGGTTGTGTTGCTAGAATTTGATGGAAGTTTGGATGGATTTAGAAAGAATTTGAGAAGAGTATTTGAAGTGTGTTTCTTTGGCAGAATTTGTGATGACTCAAGGGAGTTTTACTCCAATCTTGGATGGTTTAAGAAAGAAGTAGAATTATAGTTAAAGTAGAGTTTATATATGCATGCTTATTATTTGATGAAATGCCTAAGAGAAGCATGAGTATGAGAAGAGAACCTTAATTTTATGCAACATTACATATTTGCATTTCATGAGTGCATTTAAGAAAGAATTCTAAGCATGAGCCATCCATATGCATATATTTATATATGTGTAATAACTTAAGAAAGAATCATAAATTGTGAGAGTAAAACACTCTAAGAATAAAAAGAAAGAAAGAATAAGCACTAGAGAATAAAAGAAAGAAATGTGCTAAAGAAGAGAAAGAATGGGTTGTGCGATGGGGAACCCGTGAGTGATGAGCAGAATATCCCCGCATGTACGCCGCCTTCAGTGAGTGGCCTGAGAATGAGAAGAAGAATTGGTATAGCCCGTGAGAGTGCATGTGGATGAGGGCTATACCCGAGAGAGAGAATACACTCACATGGCCAAGGGTTCCGAATCCATGCATCAACCGAGTCCAATCAGCATAGAATAAGAAAGAATAAGAATGAGAAAGCATGAGAAAAGAAAGAAAAGAAAAGAAAGAAAAGAAATGCAAAAAAAATAGAAAACAGAATAAGAAAAACAGAAAAGAAGAAAAGAAGAAAGAGAATGCATTCCTATGCATTACTGCATGTACATTTCATTCATGCATTATTATCATGACTTCTATCATGACTTGTAAGAATAAGAGAGAAAGAAAGAAACAGAAAGAAAGAAAGAATAGAGAGAGAGAATTAGTAGAAGGATATCATGAGAGATAGAAGCAAAGAAGAAAATAGAAAGAAAAAGAGTAGCGTAAGGAAAGAAAGAAAGAGTGATGCATGGGGATAGCGGTGCAGAGGATTTACTTACTGAGATTTTTGTGCTCACCCCGTTGTTTTCTATGTTTTTGCAGGAAATAGGTGAGGATGCGGTCGGATGGACGTCGGCAAGCGAAGAGAAATGGCTACATTGTCCACCGTTATGATAGTTTTTGTACATGTTATTTTGTACTACGTAAAGAATGTATATATTAAGCAAAGAAAAATTTGGGCCCAACTACTTTCTTTTAATTATACATGTATTTTTATTAAGTATATTTTATGTGCATATTAGTAGAAAGAAGTCTGTGGATATTTGCTTATTCTTTATATTCACATGACGTTAATTATTTGATTTGTGCATGTAGACACAATTTTTGAGACAATTATATGTATTGATCCTAAAAATTTTTATTTCTGTCTTTTTTTTTTTTTTTTTTTTTTTTTTTTTTTGAGTCTAGGTAGGTTCGGTTTGGATGTTTGTAGGTATCATCGTTGGAAACCCTCACGAGACTATAACTTGTCCAACTAGGGTCACCTAGGGGTTTAAGGCTTATTGCATACGCTAAATGCAATCGTGTCAATCCACGAAAGTGACTTAGGATAGTTTAGATATAGGTTTTGATTGTTTGTTTTATTTTCAAGCTTAAAGACATGTTTTATCACTTAATTTGCTAGGGACTAGCAAGAAGCTGGTTGGGGGTTGTGATAAAAGCTTGAAAACACATATTTTGTTAGTGATTCAATTAGATTATTTGTGGAAAAATGTGTTTAATTTGTAAAATTTAACTTAATTATTTCATAAATGTCTTTTATGGGATCACGAGTATGTTTCGAGTGTTTTCAGTTCTTAAAGATGATATTCAGATGAATGTTATATCAACGATGGATTGTGGGATGACAAGAATCAAATTGTTCGTGATTCGGAGCTGAAACGAAGAAGTTAGGGCGATTTGAAGTTAAAATGAAAATCCTGGAAAACGCTCCAGTTTTGAACATCTGACAGTAATTCGATAATACCTTGAGCTGTACATCTTGGATTGAGATGATTCTTGAACCGTTGGAAACCTGATTCAAAGGCTTACAATTCATATGTTTACCACTTGACAAGATTCAAACGTTATCATGCTCAAAAACCATCGTCTTGTCAAGGTTGCGAGTTCTGGGGCAGAATCAACTATGCCTAGGCACAGTGCTGCGGCACAACTGCGATTCTAGACTTTTTTACATTAAATTTATGACGTGTATTTCCTGTTTTAAGAGTTCTAAAGTGATTAGGATAGTGGGAATCATAACCTTAAAACCCTAGGAGTATAAATAGATGTCTTTAGCTAATTTTTAGGGGGAGAAGGGAGGGAGTTCAGCTGCTCTTTGGAGATTGGAAATTTCTGCAATTTTGAGTCATCAATTAAAGAAGTTTTTCTACTCTTTCTTATACTCATGTTTATGAATACAATGGTTTTTATTATTGAAAGTATGAACTAATTTTATTTTCTAGGGCTAAGATGTAGCCGAATTTTATGAATATGCATTGAATTATTTGTTGCTAATTTTTATTAAGTTTTGTTTTAAGTTTTATTATTGCGTTTAAAGCTTTCAATTCTTAAGGGCCCTAGAGTTGAATGATTTTATGCGTTAGGTTGAGATCGAGAGATGAAACCTAATTAGTCTAAGGTAATAAAACCATAGATTGAGCGAATGCTAGAGATAGGTTATCGCGATCTGTGAGGCTCTGGTAAATTCCATAGAACTTAATGATCTCCAATTGCTTAAATTTGATTAGAGATAATTCAGGTTAGTAATTAGGAGTTCATTTGTTAATTGTTTGAGAGAAAGTTAGCGAAATATTAGGGAGTTTGGTCTTTAGAATAAACTTAATTGGGTCAACGATAATTGTCAGTGCATAGGATTAAATTGGTGTGAAATCTATGCTCTAGGTTTAGTCGTATTGATTTCCGACCAAAGTATTAATAAAAGTTTGTTTTTGTTTTGTTTCTAAGTTGTTTTATTTTTCATTGAATCATTCTAAAAATCTAATTAATCAAATAGCAATAAGATAGGTTAGTGTGGTACTTGGTATTAGTAATTCCCTTGGGTTTGATATCCGCATTTATAAACTTTATTACTTGCACGATTTTGTACACTTGTGAAAATCAACAACAGTGTACGAAGAACTTCGTTGTGTAGTCATTTTGTAACACAAATGAAGAAGATATATGCTCCCTTTTTTTTTTTTTTTCCTAAGAGGAAATAGAAGAGATGTGTTCAAAACTAATGTGTTGTATGCTTTTTTATAACTTAAGTTTGAATTGAAAGCTTGAATGGACAACACATCTTTTTGAGCTTGAATGAACAATACATCTTTTGAAATAAGCTACAAATCTAAAAAGTTTGAATGGACAATACATCTTTTTGAATAAGTCACAAATCTCAAAATCTTGAATGGACAATACATCTTTTTGAATAAGCCACAAATCTCAAACGCCTGAATGGACAATACATATTTTTGAATTATTATTTTTTATCTAGAATAGTATTTTCTTCAACTATAAAAGCTCACACCAAATCAACTTCCAAATCATTCAACTAATATATCTACAAAGATGAATTTCAATTTTGGAGTCCATCTCATTTATCATCTTCTAATTTGTCATCATTTTCCGACAATGAAATTGACGAGGAATTGATGAATGATCTTGAAGAGATTGATGTAGAGCAAGAAGCAATCCTTCGCATAAGAGCTAACAACAACCTTTTCCTCCTTCACTATCTCAATCAACAAAATTACCAGGTGATCCATAGAGGATCAATTCCTGGTCATAGAGTCATCAATCGCAACCGGGAAACTGCTGATCGTCATTTGTTCAATGATTATTTTGCCTATAATCCATGGTATAATGATTCCATGTTTCGCCGACGATTTCGAATGTCTCGAAATTTATTCATTTGTATTGTAGATCGCGTGAAAGGTCATGATAACTACTTTGTACAATGAAGGGAAGGGCTCGACAGGTGTAATAGCCACTACTCCTCAAAAACTTATAATGAAATACATATAAAACAACATAAAGAAATTGGGCCCAAAAGTTTCTTTTATTAAACATATATACATACTCTTTACAAACATGTACATTTTTACACAAAATATATAACGTATACAAAAGTCATCAAAAACATAAGGGACAGTGTAACCACTCCTTCTCGAACGCTGACATCCATCCGACTGTGTCCTCACCTAGGTCCTGCAAAACATAGGAAAACAACGGGGTGAGCACTAAAATAATGCTCAGTAAGTAAATCCTCTACTCATGCTATCCCCGTAACTCTCTCTTTCTAATTCTTTCCTTACAACTCCTCATTCAATTTCTCTTTGGGTACTTCTCTATTCTTCTCTTTCTCTTTCCCTTAGAACTTTTTCTCATAACTCTTTCATAAATCACGACCCCATCTTACTTGAAAGAATTTCTCTCATTTATGGCCACAAATTTCCTGACCAAGTTTCCATTTTCCACTTAAGAATCTAAGAATTAATTTTAAGGGGCATCCCATAGTTGGCAAAGGTTTCACACAGACCAAATAATGAATCTTTTTGGCCGCTTATGCCACACACCACAGAAACAGCAAACATAATCAAACAAACTATTGCAAAAACCTTTTTTTTTTAATTTATTTACTTTTAATAGATTGTGTACTAATAGTGAAAATGAAATTAAAAAAATGGACTAGTAAAGCACCATGAGAACCAAAGCCCTACGGCGAACACCGTATACAGAGACAAACACTTCAACCTCCAAAACTTTGACATATCAAACAGTGTTTGGATCTTATTTTATCTGATGACATAGGGTCCATAAAATAATTGAAACACCTTGAGCAGAACTGTCAGCATAAGTACTTACCTAGATGATTGGTGGGTTCATCAAGCAACAGGATTGTTGGGTTCATGAATAGAGCCCGTGCCAATGCAATTCTCATTCTCCAACCACCAGAGAAATCTCGAGTTTTCTTTGCCTGCATCATCTTGTTGAAACCAAGACCATACAAGATTTCAGCAGCACGTTTCTCTGCAGTTGCTACATCCAAGGCTTCTAAACGCTCATAAATACGCTCAAGTTGCTCTCCACCTCCATCATCCTAAGAAAAATTAAAAATTGACAGTGAGAATAGTAGTCCATGAAGGAAAAAGAATGAGAATCTAAGGATTTTCAGTTACACACACCTGTGCTGCCAAGGCTTCAGCTTCTTTCTCTAATTGCAACCTTTCCTCATCACAGCAAATGACAGCTTCCAGAGCAGACATGTCAGAAGCTTCAATCTCCCTACTGAGGTGATAAATATCCATGTGGTCTGGAATTGGGAGCTCACGGCACCCTATTGCAGTCAATAGTGTAGATTTCCCACACCCATTTAAGCCAAGCAAACCATAACGTCTGCAAACACAAGTAAAGAATAAACACATGCATATACATAATATGCATGCAGAAAAGGGATATTTATATCAACCAACACCTCCATCGAAAAATACAAACCTTCCATAGTTAAGCTCCAGCTCAGAATCAACTATGAGATCGTGTCCATGAAAAGTGACTGATAAGGACTCAATCTGCAAAAAAGAAAGACATCATCTCATAATCAAAGGTTTACATCATACTATGTGACTCCAGTCAAAATAATCCACAAACTTTTGTAAAAAGACTCCAGTATGTCCCAAAGCACCATACCTAAGCCCGTATAAAAAAATCGCATGCATAAAAGAACTAGGCCTAATGGTTTCAATAAATACAACCTTCTTCCTGAAATTCATTTGACTTTTTTAAATTCACAAAACCTAAATAACAGAACTATGAAACTAAATTCATTCTCTCCCTCTCGTCTAAACTTTCATAATCTATTTAATAATTTATATTTCGAACTTTATCAAGGTAAAAAATATACTTGATAGGTGCACTTTGTATTCACCCAACAAATGATCCACGAAAACTAAAATGCAGAACAGTGACACACACCTCACTAAATCTCCAAGATATTCAAAATAAACATAAGATCAAATTGCACAGAATTAAATATTTTCAGAGCTAATCCAGAAATCATCACCAATACTTTTAAAAATAAAAAAAGCACCAAAAACCAAAAAAGGGTAAAATACCTGCAATGAGATCACAAATTAAATTCAAATAAAATAATTCCCTAAATTTCAGAAATTCTATTAATACCACGAAGAAAGTAAAAAAAGAAAAAAAAAAGCTTACACGAATATCTCTGGAGAGAGGATGCGAGCAAAGAACTCCAGTACATGTTCGATCGGAAATTTGAATAGCTCCAATCCCATTAGCAACTTTATCAACACCATTCTGCGCCTCCGCCGCCTTGGAAGATGCGGCCGCCGCCGCTGCTTTTCCCCCTCTCTTGGCAGCCGCCGCCGCCTTCTTCTGCGCCGCCTTCTTCTTGCTCGCGTCTGACACCATCTGCAATCACCACCGATCAAAATCACAAAACAAAAACAAAAAAAAAAAAAAAACCAAGAAAATTACAAATTACATAGATAATTAGAAAAATAAAAAATGATTAATGAGTAACGTACCTTTGATAGGAGCAGAGATCTGAGATCTAGGGTTTAGGAGTATAGATTTCGGGTCCTACTTGAGAGGAGAGGAGCAAAACCAGGTTATGAGGGTTTGGTTAAAGAGGGCTAGTGTGGGAGGGGGTGTTTGGGTATATATAGGGAAGAGGATTGTGGGAGTGACGCGTGTCCTATAGGTTATTTAGAAGGAACACTTGTGGTTACGTATTCGAATGTGAGACTGAATGTTTGGTGTGTATGCAAGAGCGGACAAGTTCATGTAAAAGCGAAGTCGGTCTCGGACATGTGTTTGGTTGTTGGTTTGGGCTTTTAATGGGCTAACATTAAATTAAAATGGACTTTTCTTCGTTTATTATTAGATTTATTTCATATATTTTCTTTTAGTGCTAAATTGAAAAATCTTCAGCAAATGTTTTTATCAATAATAATAAGGGAATTTATGTTACAATTGTGTTATCATAGCTTGGAACTTGTTGAGGTATATTTATTATTGAACGTGTAAATAATATTTAGGATGCGTTTAGTTAGGGCCCTTGGAAGATTATTCTAGTAATCTATTTTTTAACATAGGTATTACCTTGTTTAATTCAGCAGGTAATAAATCAGAATCTGTTATTACTCAAGTAATATGAGAGGTGATATAGGGTGTTATGTGATTTCTGACTCAGATGGTAGTATTTCCTATTTTTGTTCTAATTTTACCCTTAATAAAAATTCTGGACACAAATGTACTCCTATTGATGTCAAATAACAATTAACCCAATTTATTGAATGACTTATTTAACCTCCTTAATTAATTATTTGGATAAAAATGCCTCATATATATACATCGTGTGTGTGTGTGTGTGTGTGTGTGTAAAGGTCATTTCAATATAATAATATCTAATATTTTGTAATTACTGTCAAACAAACACATTAATTATTTATACAGTCCATAATAATAATTTATATCTATTAATCTTTTAAGATTATCTATCTCACTAATAATCATATTTTTTTGTAATAAAACATTATCGAAACCAAACGCACCCTTAATACACATCAGCATCAAAATGAATTTTTGTGTGACAATTCTTAATACATATCCAACATATTTTACTATTTTTACAACGAATTATGAATCATATTCTTAATAGGATGGATACCATAATTGTCTCTAAGAATTAGAAAGAATAAAATATATTATTGCTAATAAATCCTCACTTAAAATAAGAGAAACTTCTAAATAATATTTATCTATATTTAATATTCGTAGGAGTAAATGACTTCATTTTTAAATGGCCCAAAAAAATTAAGATTTTATTATTTTAATGCTACTGGGCCTTGTATTTTTGGTTGCAGTGACTAACAACACTCACAACGGAAGTTTCCTTCGATGTCTCTCTTTTATTATTATTTTTTTTTTCTTCGCAAGAAAATAATTTTTATTACCTGCGTTCTTTTAGGAGGCATGGCTCCTTGAATTGACTGACGTCCATACATGCAGAGTTTATAAAAAAATTATTTGACATTTATAAGCTTGAAAATTAGAAATGCAAAGCTTGAAGTTAAAGGAGGGCACCGTTATACTTGGCCAATTCTATTGTATAATACAGCTACTTTGATGTCTCTCATCCCTATCAAGTCATCCATATTGCTGAGAATAAGTTTGAGAGCGATATACTTTTGAAAGTGTTATGTAGCACAACGTAAGTAATTAAACTAATTTCTCAAAGTAATATTCTAATATTAAAATTTATTCTTTACAATTTGAAAGCATTTATAATAAATATCAAAAATACTTTCAAAACATATACCGCATAAGATTGTAAATATTATCATCTGTAGACTCTGAATATGAACTTAATGTTTGAAATATTTTATATTTCACATAAGATGGTCCATGTATGAATTTTACCCCAGTTGTTTTGAAATAATTAAATTAACTGAAGGGTATGATGGTCATTTATCTTTGATGGAGATATTATTGAAATAACTACAGTTTGGGAATTAATAAATAATTGCCGTATATAGAGGAGGTCCTCTCTCTATTCCAATGTACCCATAATATTTTCTTTTTTATAAAAGAAAAACAAGCGACTTACAAAAGGGAAAAAGAGAAAGAGATACATTGTCTTATTCTACAATCTCCATTAACAGATTATTCATGGATTCAAGTTTGTTTTATTATGTTTTATAAAGAGTGAAAATGCATCAAAGTTTTAGATTCTAGGATCTAAGATTATGCAATTTTAGGGCATGAAAATATGATTATATGATAGGTCCCAGACTTGAATAAATTAAGATAAATTCTCTTCGGGCGAGAATGAACCCAATTGCAATAACTATATATATATATATATATATATATTCCTTGATGATAAACAATGGCTGCCTTAAATAAGCAAAGTCATGGTCATGATGCCGAAATAAAGGCAACATAAACCAACAAAATTAACATGATCTCATGATGCCAAAATAAATGCAACATAAACCAACAAATTAACATGTGCAACGGAAGAAGTAAATTGTGGAAAAATCATGCACAACGTGGCAGCTGGAACTTCTCAACTGGATATGACTCAATCCTCCCACATGCCCGTAGAATTCTGCTCCATGTCAAACTCCACTCACCCTCTACTCCCATGCATGCAAGACTCTTGGCCCCTGCCCATTTCAAACTCCATTCTGGTACTTGGGGTGGGGTTTTGGTTGCTTCTGTGATCGTCGTGGTCTATCAATACCCTCCCCTTGAAGTGGACGCTTGTCTCTAAGGTCCACAGCGTTGGAATTGTCGACTACTTCAGCATTAATGGGTAACGGAGACACACTCGAGGGTCCCACTGCCCGATCAGCGGGCGGATGCCCCGCTCCCTTGTGAGCGGGCGGGGGTCGCGGGGGCAGCGCCCCCGAGCCCGTAGGCGGTTTTGGGCTTTTCCATGTATAACTGCTGTAGGATTTCCTTTAAGTTATTAATTCCTTTTTGGGTTGGGCTTAGGAATAGGAATCTATGTAAAACTAGGTTTAATCTCTTAAACCTAGTATATAAACATACTTTTCTTTTGTTATGAGTGTGAGAACAATTCATTCATTGTAAACGAGAGAGGTGAGGCATATTGCAATAATATTGACTCAGCTGGACGTAGCCCACATTGGATGAACCAGGGTAAATCGCGCGTATTATTTTCTTTGTTTACTGTTTGTTTTGTTTAACTATTATTATTTTTGTTCCTGTTGCTTCTCTATTTCGTTCACACAGCTGGAAATTGTTGAAGCAAAGGGAGAGTTAACTCCCATATGGCTTCTTCCGCTAGGAGGTATGCCCACTGAACCAGCACTTCTTCCTCAAACTTGTGTCCCCGTTTGACCCAGCGTGTCTCCAAAATTTGCTTGGGCTCCAGTATGACAACCCCGTCTTCATTCAATGGCGGCAAGTTCTGGGAAGGCAAAGCTCGATCGCCAATGAACTTTTTTAGTAAGGACACATGAAAGACTGGATGAATTCTAGTTCTTTCCGGCAGTTGCAATTTATATGCCACTGCTCCGCTTCGTTGCATCACTGGGTACGATCCATAACACCGGCTTGCCAATTTCTGTGAACCCGTTTAAATGCTAACTGTTGCCAATATGGATGCAACCTGAGATACACCAGATCACCTACTTCAAAGGTGACTTCACGTCGCTTTTGATCCGTTGTTTGTTTCATGTGGTTAATGGAAACTTCTGGGTTAGTCTTGAGTTGTCAAAGCAACTCATCTCTTGTAAGGAGACTCTAGTCCACTTCATGTATAGGAGACAGCCCAACTAAGTAGATGGGAATGGTGGGTGGCAAGCAGCCATACAATGCTTGGAACGATGTCAATCCTGTTGAGGCATGGTAGGTGGTGTTATACCAGAGCTCGGCCCAAGGGAGGTAGGGTTTAGGGTTGACAACTTTGGTTTGGCCGTCGGTTTGCGAATGGTAGGTGGAACTGAGCTACAATTTAGTCCCTAACATTTGAAAGAATTCTTGCCAGAATCTGCTGATGAAGATTGGGTCTTGGTCACTGATAATGGACTAAGGTAGGCCATGTAGCTTGATAAGTCCTTCCACGAATTTTTCTGCCACACTTTTAGTGGTAAACGGGTGAGTTAAGGTAAGAAAATAGGCAGATTTACTCAACCTGTCACGACCACCAAGATGGTGTCCTTGCCATGAGCCTAGTTAGTAAATTCGCATACACCCAGCCGTATAATTCACATATTATTCGCGAACTGCCGTATTTTATCATTGTGGATATACGCATTAAAGACTACTATATAATTATTGCAGAAAGTCATAATTGTACGTTAATGGATATGGTTAGGAGTATGTTGAGTAACTCCTTGTTAGCTTCATCATTGTGGATATATGCATTAAAGACTACTATATAATTATTAAATAGCGTTCCTAGTAAGACAGTTCCAAAGACTCATTTTGAACTATGGATAAGAAAGAAACCCAGTTTGAGGCACCTACATGTTTGGAGTTGCCTGACAGAGGTTAGGATTTATAATCCACATGAAAAGAAACTGGATTCAAGAAAGATCAGTAGATTTTTTATTGGTTATCCAGAAAAATCTAAAGGGTAACGTTTTTACTATACTAACCATAGTACGAGAATAGTTGAAACTGGAAATGCAAGGTTTATTGAGAATGGTGAAACTAGTGTTGAACCACGTAAAGTGGATATTCAAGAAGTCAAGGTACAAGTTCCTGCACCTATGACTTTTACTGAGGTTATGATTCATGTAGTTATCAGACGCTCTGATAACAATCAAGAACAACAAATAATTGAACAAACACTTCCTATAATGTAGCAGTCAATGAACCTGTAATAGATGAGTCACATGAAGTAGTAAATGAATACAATAAATAACATTAAGAAGATCTCAAAGACAAAGGAGATCTGCCATTACTAGTGATTATATGGTTATCTTCAAGAGTCGGAATTTGACTTGGGAATGGAAGCATATCCAATTTCGTTTTCACAAGCCTTCAAAGTGATAATTCTGCAAAGTGGTTAGACGCCATGAAAGAAGAGTTAGAATCAATAGAATACAATGAAGTCTAGGATTTAGTAGTATTGCCTGAAGGTTGTAGAACAGTCAGATGTAAATAGGTCTTTAAGACCAAGCGCGACT